CTTCACCAGGGAGTGATCCTGAAGGAAATAATAACAAAAACGAGTATCTGCAACATATAAAATCCCAATTCAATACTTGCCTTCAAAATAATATAGGAGTCACAAGTGAAAATCTTTCCATATGATGATGTTGGAAGGGAAACAGGGCAAGATTTTTCAATGCGCCAGATTTCAAGCCCACTGCATACAGTCTTAAGGAAAACAATTCATTCAAACCTGGCACACAACAAGAGTTAGACAACAATACCTGTGATACTTGCTAACTTCTTAAAATTTAATGGTTTGATACATGAAATGCCGTAAGTTTCTGAAGAGAAGGATACGCTTTCTGCCCAGCTCCTTGGAAAGCTGGATCTACATTTCTCATGGAAACCGCTAGACTCATTGTGAAGCTTTAAACTTAATGTTCTTGACCATCTAAGTCTTAAGCCGGAGGCCAAAGGAGTATATCTTACCTGAAACATAATTAGCAGCATTAATTGAGTACGGTATAGATAATGTCGGGTATAAATGATCATAAAATAAAAGAGATAACAAGATTTCACGTGAAAATCTGTAAAGATCACGAACAAAAAAGTAGAAATTTTACTAATATCGAAAAAGAAAAAAATAGTACAAGAGGATCTACGTCTAATCAAACTTAAATGAACTAATTTCTAATATCTATTTATGTAGATTCTATACGCACAAAATCTAATCAAATTAGGTTTTTCACTCTCGACTCTAATAGTAAAAGTATACTGTGTAAGATTCTACGTGTGCAACAAGATCCATATCAAACGAGTTGCATTATGAACTTTTCGAATCGAATCTACTGAAATTCAGATCACATTCCACAGAACGTATAAGTAAATTGTATTTATCGTATCAAAATCAAACCAGAAGATGGCAGAACCCGAATTGCTTATTATTATTAATAACCCAGACATGGATCAAAATGCCAATACATAAGTTACGACAAATTCGCAAGTATAATCAACCATAAATAACAGTGTTTTTAATGAAAACATTACAAAATGGAAAGAAGGTATTAAAAAGGACATTACCTTTATTTATGACCTTTTAATTGGTTTTACAGATACAAGTTGTCGTTGATGGTGATCTCAGAATTTTGGTTTCGTAATAACATGAGTGCTGCTTTTTTTAATTAAAAATATTTTTTAATTGATTAAAGAAATTAATGGAAGAAATGAGAACAATTACTAATTGAGGAAAAACATTGGCCCGAGAAAGTCGAGCTACATGTGGAGAAAATAGAAAAGGCCGGTCCCCAAGAAAATTAAGGCGGGGCTTGATGCTATCCCCTTGTGTTTCTCTCCTTATATTAATTCACAAATTAAACAAATCCAGTAAATATACATCGTTAGAAGTTGATTGGTGTTCCTTGAGTTCCCACAAGGGTCAACTGAGAACATATAAAAAGGAAGATGAAGAGTATTCTATTCCATGGAGTGGATTAATTATTCTTGATCGGAACGTGGTCATATTCCTCCATTTTCCCCCACAATAGTCAAACTCTCTCCCCATCTCTACCCTATATAAATATTTACAGCAACAGAACACAACGCACATGATCGTTTACAGGTTGGAGTTAGGGTTTGTTTTATTATTCATCTTTGTCGTGGAAGTGCCTTGCATGGAGATCATGGGAATGGGTCTGAGCCAAGGATGACTTGCCGCCCCTCACTCACATTTGTTCATATATGTGATCTAACTGTGTGTTGACCTTGTGAGTTGTCTGGGCTCAGTTTCATTCTCTATTCTCACATGTCAGATTAACCACAAATTCTAGATCATGTATTACACTGGTTAGGGGTGATAGTTATATCGAGGTCGAGTCAAATTAAAGAATTTTGAGTTATTCGAATTGACAAGTCCTATTTTACAACTCGAAATTGACATAATTTTTTTCCCAAATCGAGTCGATTTTTCGAGTTTATGTTTAAATTTAATTTGTAAATATTTATAATATTATGATATTATTTTATTCCGATTTAAATGGTTTTTTTATAACCATATACAATGCAAATATATTTCTTCATAATTTTTTCATGTGATATACATATATTATTCAAAGTCAAATGACTCGACTCAAAATTGAAAATCAATCAACTAATTACTAAAACTTTCGTATTATTCGAGTTGTATTTTACAACTCGATTGGAACTTAAAACTTTTTCGAGTCGAGTTTATAAAATTACAACTCGAAGTCAATTCAAGTCAAGTTTTTTCAAGTTGAATTAAGTCAAAAACATTGGTTTTTCGAGTCAAATTTTGTTCACCCCTAACTTTGGTTACTGTATATAAAATCTTAACCGAAACATTCTTCACGAGCTTTTTTTTTCACGTTCTGATTTAATATTAAGGCTTAAAGTAAAAATAAGTATTTAAATTATTTTGTGTTTTTGTTAGGTACTTAAATTATTTTTTTATCAAACTAGGTACTTAAACTATTATACTTAATTATTTTAAATCTTGATATTTTTTTCAGTTATAAAATTATTTTTCAACTAATAAAATGTTGACACGTCATATAAAATTAAGTATTTGTTTTGATAAAAAAAATATTTTAAGGGCTTAAAGTAAAAAAGGGGATATAATTCAAGTATTTATTTTGACCAAAAAATAGTTGAGGTACTTATAATAGTTACATATGATAATTTAAGGTACCTAGTTTGACAAAAAATAATTTAAGTATATAAAAAATAGTATAATTTAAGTATTTAGTAGTTTAAATTAACTTATTTCCCCTTTGGTTCTGGTATGGTATCAAAACATGCAGAGAATCTGAGGTTTTGTTGTCGGGCATTAATTCAATCAGACCATTCGAACTAAACAGGCCGAAAACCAATGGCTCAATTTGTGGCAGAAATATGGAAGCAACAAGAAAAGTTGTGTAATATTCTACAAAGTTTAGTTCTTTAATCTAATTCTTCATTGCTTCAGTAAATGGAGTTAAAGAAAATTTAATTAACATTTTCATATTTGTAAACAAATAGAATCCTGGAAGAAGGAAACTGAAAAGGGAAGAGATTTTTGTGGAATGGGATTTTTTCAATAAATATATATTTTATTGTTAATTGTAGATCTCATTTTTTTATTTGCCGGATTGAAAAAATTGTAATTCTCAAATGTTGAGATTAATCGTTTTCCTTTTCTTCTGATGATTTTTTTCTTATTTTTTTATTTTTAATCTCGGTCTTTAATTTATCTCATATAATAGTTCTAAAAAAGTGTAAAACTAATATTTTCCCCCGATTTTAATATATTAGATAAGATCCATTGATACGATTAGAGACGTAGTCAGGATTTTAATTCAAGGGAGACAAAGTATAATAAACAATAAAATTAGGAGGGACAATATCAAAATAAATCAAAACATAAAGGTCTAAATACATATTTATCCCTATATATATTCTTTTAATAATAATTTTTTTGGGCCACTTAGAATTATACATAGTTTCGTCACTGAGTACAACGTAATACTTTTAAGTTTTACTATTCTATCTTCTTGTAGGTTTAGTTTTCTATTAAACTCACTCAAAATTAATGAAAAATTTATCTAAAAGTTTAACGTTTGAATGATTCGATATGCTTTTATGATCGTCTGTTGAGAGTAGTTTCGAAGAAAGTTGTTTGTCTTCTTAAAAAACTATTCAAACTTTCAAACCACCTCACAACCCTCTCAAATTTGACAAAATCCTCAAACCCTGTGAAATTATAATATTTGTGTGTGTTTGATTCTATGAGTTTTGAAGAGATTTCATACTTTATCGGTGTGTAAGATGACCATAAAAAATGTTAAAAGATAATAATTTTCGATGATGATTAAAAATAAGTAAAATAAAATCTTATTTTTAACAAAGATGATGTAGGATAAAAAAACATATTTTGATTTTTATGTCAACACCACAGCTGTCATATCACCGTGCCATTTTAAATTTAACGATTCAATGCTCACTTGAACTTGAAATTAAAATTAAAATTAAAATTCAATCCATAAGTTATTTTTTTTTTGAAGATTTAGTAATAAAATTAATAAACGGAATAAGAGATATAATGATTAATTATGTAATTTGCCCTAAACATGAATACATACATAATGTTTAACTTGGAGCAACCTCTCTAGATGTTGTTTTACTTGGAGCAATCTCTCTAGATGTTGTAATAATTTACTTTGAATCTACATCTAATTGTTTAATGTTTCAAACTTGTTCTAACACATGACTGTTGAATAATAGAAACAGTTCCTTAAAGTATTCATTTGAAATACATGCCGAATTAGAAAGTTCGTAGACAGAGTAATCCACCCCTTTTAAAAGTGGTGAAGTCATGGTTTCACGATTAGACCATGTCAAATACATGCCGATTTGGAAAGTTCGTAGCTTATTAAACCGGTTTTATTACGCGTATAATAAATTAATAATAACCCTTTTATTTTGTTTTCGATAAAGTATACAAATGGTCCTTTGACTATAGGATACTGCTTTATTAAGTTCATTAACTGTTAAAAATTATAAAATGGTCATCCGTTTATAGAGTGTTACTTTGTTGAATCCTTTAACTACTATAAGTTACAAAACGGTCATTCGACTATTCATTATGTTCTAAACTCATCATTTTTTATTAAAAGATTGATGATATTATGAGCTAAACGTTAATATGTTAATTGTGATATGATAAAATACTATCTTAGAATCTCAAACGACTATCATATCTCAATCATCATGCTAACGTCCAACTTAGACAGTCACTAATTTTTTAAAGGAAAATGATGACTTTAGAATATAATGAATATTTAGTGATCATGTTGTAACTTTTAATAATTGATGGAATTAATAAAATAGTATTCTATAGTCGAAGGTTCAATTTATAGCTTTTAATAGTAAATAGATTAAATAAAAATATCTTATAGTCGAAGAATCATTTGTGTACTTTACCCTTTTGTTTTCTTGCACCATGATTATTATTTTTTTAATGTCAAGAGGGAGCAGCTGATTCTAATGATCAGCTTCAACTTGAATCACATCTAGCACTTCAGCCGGAGGGGTGTTGTACGTTCGCAAACCAGGAGCCATTGATCGACCAATCCTCGCCATGTAATCTGCAGCCACATTTTTCTCCCGCACCACATGAGTGATCTGAACAGTCCAATCCCGCTCCAAGAGCTCGACAATAATAGGAAGAAGTGGTGAAGCCATATCCGAATTCCTTGCTTGTTGGAGAGTCGAACAAACTTCACAATTATTGATCTCTACAATGATTCATTTCAGTCCCAAATACCAAGCTAGCACATCTCCTCTTCAAGAGCTGAACACACTTCTAACCCTCGTGCAAATCCACCAATCCATCGGCCCCTGCATCCCTTATCACTCCACCGCAACCCGAATGGTTAGAGGATACATCATATGCGCCACCCGTATTCACCTTATACCAGTTCTTTGGCGGAGGCTCCCACGACACCGTCCGACACATTTTCACAACCATTCGAATTCCTGCAGTTTCCAATTTACTTGCTTCCGCCACTTCTTTTAGTAATCATCAACTTTGATCGAGAACCCCCTCCAATAATGGCTGCTCATGATCAAAAATGCGAAGATTCCGGCATCTCCAAAGGCACCAAAGGACCGTACCAAACAAATGTGGCCATTCATGTGTGCTAATAGGAAAATGGCTAAATTGACGGGATAATGTTGTGAGAAAAAAAAAATCACGAGATAATGCGTTCCAACAATTAATTGCTGAGATAGGATGTTTGCTACAGTTCGAATGTAGGTCGCCAGGTGATCTGGGCGACCAAGGAGGTCGCCATGCTGTCCCTGCGTCCCACCAAGAAGGTCGCCATGTATGTTGGGCGCCATGCAGTGAAAGTTGAAATGTAGTGTTATCTCTTCCTAGTCAAACACTAGTTGTTTGGGTTAAATGCAAATTTGGTCCTCATAACTTTGCACTCTCATATGCATGTTTTAATATTTAGGGGATAATAGCATTTTCGGTCCCCTATGCTTTGTAATGTCTTTGTTTAATCATTTAGTGACATTTTTAATGTTTTATTTCAGGCATGTATATTTTAATAATTATATTTTAGTCACTAGTTGTTTATTCTGTCAAGTTTGTGTATACTTCATTTTGATCATAATATTTTTAGTTATTTCATTTTAATCACTGATTTCATGTGTTTTATATATTTTCCTTAATCTTTGAAATTGACCATGAAATTTGTAAACATGTTTTTAAAACATGAAATTTCCTAACCCAAAGGTTGATGACGAATTTAACCAATTTAATTTCAAAACATCATTTTTTTTCAATATTAAAATCATAAATGTTTTTAAAACAATAAATAATTTTCACCTAAAAATGGTTATGACATATATATAACAATATAACAGGTAAAATATGACAAAATTGGTTTCATTATGACAAAACCCTAAACCAAAGATCCCAATAATCAATTTTAAAATAAATACATACTAAAATAGGATAAACAAGAAACATATATGACTAAATTATAATAAACATAAATACTAAACAGTGGCTAAAATAACATGTTTACAAATTTCATGGCCAATTTCAAAAATTAAGGAAAATATATAAAACACATGAAATCAGTGATTAAAATGAAATAACTAAAAATATTATGATCAAAATGAAACATACACAAACTTGATAGAATAAACAACTAGTGACTAAAATATAATTATTAAAATATACATGCCTGAAACAAAACATTAAAAATGTCACTAAATGATTAAACAAAGACATTACAAAGCATAGGGGACCGAAAATGCTATTATCCCCTAAATATTAAAACATGCATACGAGAGTGCAAAGTTATGAGGACCAAATTTGCATTTAACCAAACAACTAGTGTTTGACTAGGAAGAGATAACACTACATTTCAACTTTCACTGCATGGCGCCAGCATACATGGCGACCTTCTTGGTGGGACGCAGGGACGACATGGCGACCTCCTTGGTCGCCCAGATCACCTGGCGACCTACATTCGAACTGTAACAAACACCCTATCTCAACAATTAATTGTTAGAACGCATTATCTCGTGAATTTTTTTTCTCACAACATTATCCCGTCAATTTAGCCAGGAAAATAGATCAGATTTTGCAAATTATAATGAATCCACTCCACCATATCCATACTCAAGAACTCACCTAATCTACCTTGTGAAATAAGTGCAGACCACGTTGCTCTCGCCTTAAAATAGTCCCGTAATACGTGACTGATGCTCTCGGTTGCTGCTCCATACAACGTGCAACTCGCATCCGCCGCCAGGTTTCGTCTAACTCTCTTTTCGTTCGTCAACAAGCAACCTAAGCAAGCCAACCATAGAAAAATTCGCACTCTCGGCAAACCGTCAAATTTCCAACTTTCAAACCTGAGATATGTTTGACAATGGCTGACCCAAATCCACCTGCAATTTGTAAGCACTTGACACAGAGAACTTTCTATTTTTCACCCCCTCCAACCAGGTCGATATTCCCCATTAGTCGGCAACGGAGGTATTACCATGATCAAGTAGTCTTTAATATGCTTCGGTAAAACACCTATGAGCTCTTCCCATTTGCATTCCCCGTTACCCGAAACCATATTGGCTATCATCACCGATTCAGCCAAGGCCAAACTTGCTCCCCTTCGAAATGACTGCAATGGTCCAAGCTTACCTAGCCATGCGTCCCTCCAAAAGTTAACTGTACGACCATTACCCATCACCCAGGCAAGATTCGCAACCAAACTTTCTTATACTAACGTGAGCCCCGACCAAAGCCTAATACATCTTTGTCACCGAATCGAACAATGAACCACGTCATCAATAAATGGCATATGAGTTGTTCAATTTTTTGTTGCTTATGAGTTGTTCAATCTCAACGTAAATTCATTTAGACAAAAAAATAACAAACATTTGCATAGAGTAAATAGGTAAAGGCGCCAAATAGACTTAGCCAAAACAACTCTCTCTGCCATGGTCAAATACCTTGCCCTCCAACCGGATAATCTATCGTGCACCTTCTGCACAAGGTAACTATAAGTCCCATAGGTCACATGATGGTGAAGAAGAGGAACCCCTAGATACCGACCTATATCATCCACCTGAGTGAATTGAAACCTTGTATTGATCTCTTCTTTGATACTCGGAGAAACATTCTTTGAGAAAAAGACATTTGTCTTAGGGAGACTAACCTTATGGCCCGAGCAACGACAGAAGGTCTCAAGAACCCTTTGAATAATTTGAAGTTGTTCCATCGAAGCTTTCGCAAAAAGCACCAGATCATCTGCGAAAAAAAAGGGGAAAGACTTGATCATGCTCTTCCTAACCGAATTGGTTTCCACCTCCCTCCATCAACCTCAGCCCGAATAGCATGAGCTAGCCTCTCCATGCAGAGAACGAAAATGTATGGTGAAAGAGGATCACCTTGACGAATCCCCGTGAAGGTGAAAATTGGGCAGAGGTATACCTATTCCACAGAACCTGCATCGAAGCACTGGATACACAATTCTTAATAAGATCGTGAAGACCTCCCGGACAGCCAATTTCTCCTAATGTATCATCAATAAATGGTCATTCCAATCTATCATATGTTTTTTTCTAAGTCAATCTTGATAGCCATCCACCCACCTTTCCAGATTTAAATCGCATAGAAAGGATTATTTCCTGAGCAATAATGATATTATCCGTGATGCTTCAACCTGAAACAAAATTGGTCTAGTTCTCCGAAACCCAAGTAGACATGAACGGTTTTAATTTATTCGCAATTAGCTTCGTTATAATCTTGTAAAGAACAGTTCAAAGGCTAATAGGATGAAACTAAGAAAAATTCTCTGGACTAGCAACCTTGGGTATAAGAACGAGGAGAGTTCTGTTTAACTCCGTTGGCACACACCTCGTCCAAAACGCCTCCATCACCACTCGGCAAACATCAATACCCACTACCTTCCAATTATTTTGAAAAAAATAAGCTTGAAATCCATCTACTCTCGGGGCCTTAGAGGGATGCAACTCAAAAACAGCTTGCTTGATTTCCTCGCGAGTAACCTGTCTCGAAAAATCCGTTGATACTGAAACGTCCACCAAAGAAAAACTATGTAGAAAATACGGCAAGGTCATCCCTGATCCTTGGCTAGTAAAAAGCTTGTTATAAAACCCAACAACTCCATCCCTTAGCATCTCCTGATCGCTACACCACATTTCACCATCTAACTTGAGCATTACAATCTAATTACGTCGACGACGTAAACGGGCACTGGCATGAAAGAATCGCGTATTACGATCCCCTTGAAGAAACCAATTACAACGAGACTTCTGCATCCACAAACTCTCCTCCTGGCACAAAATAGTCTCCAACTCCTCCTTAAGTTGAACCTCCAAATTTGATAGGAAATTCGAATGTCTAGTTGAAAGTGCACGAGCAATACCCCTCACTCTAGCTAATAATTTCCTCTTCTTTCGACCAATGTATCCGAAGGAAACTTATTCCAATGCTCAAGGGCAAACCGCATATAAGAAAGTTTGCTCATAATGGAATCATCGTCTTTCCACGAGTCCCCAAGTATCTGATTAAAATCCTCATGACTCTGCCAAGCAAACACAAACCTAAATGGGCCTACACTAGAGATACGAGTCGACCTTTGAGATTTAAGTAAGATCAGACAATGATCTGATCCTATCCAATCCAAGTCTTAAAATCTATTAAACCGTACAGAATTGACAAGGCATCAGTCCAGGCATTGATAGAGCGATCCTATAGCTCAAGTATAAGCCACCCCCTAAATTTTACCTCTAGAAGAGTTTCGTCAAACACAAAACTAGCGAACCCCCTACTCGTACCATCCTGAAGAGAAGTTCCTCCTCCACGTTCATCTGGCTGAAAAATTGCATTAAAATCTCCCATAAGCAACCATGGATGATTTGAGCCTGGATTCAGACTCTCAAAAACCTCCCACAGTCTATTACGGATTACCACAACAGGACTAGCATAAACCGCCGTAACAAAGATCGAATGATCCTCCCCCATCACTTGAATTTGAGAATGGATGAATTGGTTTGAAACTGATATAATTCTCACCTGAACATCATATGACCACAGTAATCAAATCCCTCCGTTAAACCCCTAAGCTTCCACTCAGAAAGAATTTGGGAATCATATTCGTCGAATGACTTAATCTGCTTTTCCTCCACTAATCCTATTCTCTATTAAAGCCACAACTGATAGGTTATTCTCTCGTATCATACGTTTAAAATGGCGTCGATAAACCGGATTGGCTACCCCTTGGGTGTTCCAAAATAACAAATCAATCATCACTACAAGAGAAGGTATTAATGATCCCTTGGATCGGCTCAACATTGGACCCCCCCGATCTCTTTGTTTCTCAATCGTTCACCCCCAATTGAATTAACATCCTTACCCAACTCAAGTCTAGACACGGGATGAGGATCCGCCCGGCCATCTTGAATTTCAAA